ACTTGAGCGTCGGAGTGTTTTCCCCGAGGAAACAACCTCGGGATTTTCAGGTGTAGAAGCAGCTGAAGACTTCAACAGTGTTGGATTGTGAAGCTGCCGAAACAATTTTCATTGTACTAAGTTTATGAACCCATAAATAAAATTTACAGATTGAGTTTGCTTTCATGTGTGTGTCTCATGATGTTTTAATTTCTTTGAATTTTTTGCTACTCTTGGGTTCATTTCTGATTCTGTTGCTGGATGTTTCAAGAGTTGTTTGTTTGAGAAGAACATGCTTTTTTATTTTTGGCGGAGATTGAGAACCTAGTCACGCGAATTGGGTTCATCTTGGGTTCATGAAGAACCCAGGATGAACCCACCCAGGCGTGCTCTGGGTTCGCAACAAGATGAACTCAGGCGCGATGAACCCAAGTCACGCCAGGGTTCATGACGAACCCAACAAAGGTTTTTTTTTTTTAAAAAAAAAAGAGAGATGATAATGAAGGGAAAGGAGAGGATAAGACAGAAGGGGGAAGAAAATGGGGGCAAATTAGTGAAGATTTGAGCTTTAATTGAGATGAAGATTGGTGCAAAGATTTGAGGGTTTTGATGGAGGAAGGTTTGGCGAAGAAGAAGAAATCAATCGATGAAAGGGGGATTAAGTTCAGGCAAAGGTAGAGAGGATCGGGGATTTGGGCTTAGGAAGAAGATGAGAATAGAAACGGGAAATGAAAAGACAAAGGGAAAAAATGATTTTTTTCTTTTAATTATTTTAGAACCTATTGATTACATGGAAAATAAATTTGATTGCCAACTCATCAATTTTGCAATGTGTAACCATATATCACCATTAAAAAGAAAAAAAAAAAAGACATTTAACGGATTATTGTGTCATGCTGTTACTTAACTAGCAAAAGGACTAAAAATGGATCAAATTTCAAATAATAAGGATAAAAAATGGGATTTTTTTAGTATATGGACTAAAAAAAGACTTTTTCTTATAGTAGAGGGATCAAAAATGATATTTAACCAAAGATTTATCTAATATATACCCTTGAGACATGTTTAAAGGCTTATGTAACTTGTGCCCTAGAAATATATTTAAGCGTTTTTATTTAATATGTATTCTTAAAATATAAGTTAAAAATATAATAAATATATTTTTTAATAAAATTATTTTAAAAAGTAAAAGTTGAT